AGAGAGAGAGAGAGAGAGAAAATTTATAAAAAGGGCATCTTAATTGTATTCTAGGTCAAATTGGCAGTTGTTACTTGTGGAAGTTAAATCACATTATTTGTTCATATAATCCATTGTGCTTTACAAGATTTTTCGTTAATCTTAGCCATGATTGTTTTAAACATCACTGCATTTGACATTGATTTCAACATCTTTGAAAGGTTCAAAAATCATCATTTTTTGTGTGTAGGATTTGACATTAAAAAAAAAAAATGACAAGTAGATACATTGAATTCTTGATGATAGTATGGGTGAATCAAACATGTTCATAAAATTTAAAGCATCATCAAAGAGGGAAACGATTACTAACGGTTCAAGAGGACACTGAAGAACATTGAAATCTCTTGAACCTATAAGGTTCAAAGTCATGATATTGATGAAAGTTCAAGATTCGAATTGAACATTGGTAAGAGGCACAAGTTATTTGAGGTTTGAAGAAATTTTAATTTGATTCAAGATCCTTGTCAAAGAAGAAGAGATCCAGTTGCATCTCAAAAAAAAAAAAAAGAAAAAAAAGAAAAAGAAAGAAGAGGCAGAAAAAAGGAAAGAAAAAGAAGATCACATCCTAGATGAAGTTGCATCTCAGAAAAAAGAAAAGATGAAGTTGGCATCTTGGAAAATTACATCCTAGATGAAGTTGCATCTCAGAAAGAAAAAGAAATGAAGTTTGCATCTCAAAAAAAAAAAAAAAAGAAAAAAAAGAGAGAAAAAAAGAAGAAGAAAGAAAGAAAAGAAAAAAGAGAGACGAAGTTGCGTATCTCAGGAAGAAGAAGAGATGAAGACTGCATCTCACAAATGATAAGATGAAGACCACATCTTGAAAGTCACATCCTAGATGAAGACCGCATCTGAGGAAGAAGGAGAGATGAAGACCACATCTCGCAAAGGATAAGATGAAGACCGCATCTTAGAAGTCACATCCTAGATGAAGATCGCATCTGAGGAAGAAGGAGAGATGAAGACCACATCTCGAAAAGGATAAGTGAAGACCGCATCTTAGAAGTCACATCTTAGATGAAGACCACATCTAAGGAAGAAGGAGAGATGAAGACCGCATCTTAGAAATCACATCCTAGATGAAGATCGCATCTGAGGAAGAAGGAGAGATGAAGATGTTGACTCAATGCACTCCAAGAGGGGGGGTGAATTGGAGTTGGAGAATTTTCACCTCTTTGCAACCACCAAACAAAAATTAAAGAGAGAGTTGAGAAGAAGAGCTTGCACAATGATTTTATAGAGGTTCGGTCCAACCACTTGGAGCCTAGTTCTCTACCTTGGCTTCACTCACCAAGGATTTCCTCCACACTCTCCACTAGGAAAAACAATGGTGGCTTAAAGGAGCCACTCAATCCTTTACAAGAAGAAGGGTTTCTCTCAAATCTTACCCCTTTACACTTAAACCCCAAAAATCCTCTCTACAGATCACTCTTGAAGGAATCAACACACCCCCAAGATCACTCACTAATAGCACAAGAAGAGGATTACAAACAAAGATCTCTCAAAGATCAAAAAATCAAGTTAAAGCTCATGTAGGTAGCTAAAGATATTCAATACAATACACTCTTAACCTCTTCAGATTTGTTACCACCCATATTTATACCCCCTTGCTCGAAAATAGCCGTTACTAGCCGTTGGAGGTTATTAAATGCTCTGCAGGACGCAAAACTCAAGCTGCAGGTCTGTCAGGAGAGCCGGCTTAGCTTTCTAGAGCTGGCTCTACAGAGCCGGCTATCCAGGATTGCAGGACATTCTGTTTTCCTTGAGAGCCGGCTACAAAACTTTGAGTCGGCTTGGCAATTCCGACTTTAAATACATTAAATAATCTTCAAATGACTCGACCGTTGTGCATTAAATGCACCTAAATACATTAAATAATCTTCAAATGACTCGACCGTTGTGCATTAAATGCACCCTCACAGCCGGCTATAAAGTTGGAGCCGGCTTTGCATCTTTTCTCCACGCGCGCCAAGCAACGGTCATCAAATTTTTGCCTGTAAAGCCGGCTTTAGCTTTCAGAGCCGGCTCTCTGCACTTCCATTTCACCAGAGCCGACTGCAGCTTTCAAGAGCCAGCGCTCTGCCATTTTGAATCCTTTTGGTCTATTTTTAGTGCAATCCAAGTTTACTTGCAATCTTTTAGCAACTTAACTACACACTTAAATAAACCAATTAGTCATTCAAATGTGTTTTGTAATCACCAAAATCATAGGTACAACAGAAGACCGCATCTCGCAAGGATAAGATGAAGACCGCATCTTAGAAGTCACATCCTAGATGAAGATCGCATCTGAGGAAGAAAGAGAGATAAAGACCACATCTCGCAAAGGATAAGATGAAGACTGCATCTTAGAAGTCACATCCTAGATGAAGACCGGATCTGAGGAAAGAGAGATGAAGACCACATCTCGCAAAGGATAAGATGAAGACCGCATCTTAGAAGTCACATCCTAGATGAAGACTGCATTTTAGGAAGAATAAGGGATGAAGTTGCATCTCAGAAAAACGAAGTTACATCTTAGAAAATCACATCCTAGATGAAGTGGCATCTTAGGAAGAAGAAAAGATGAAGTTGCATCTAAAAAAAAAAAAAGATAAAAAAGAGAGAAAAAAAAAAGAAGAAGAAAGAAAGAAAAGAAAAAAGAGAGACGAAGTTACGTATCCCAAGAAGAAGAAGAGATGAAGACTGCATCTCACAAATGATAAGATGAAGACCACATCTTGAAGGTCACATCATAGATGAAGACTGCATCTGAGGAAGAAGAGAGATGAAGACCACATCTTGAAAGTCACATCCTAGATGAAGACTGCATCTGAGGAAGAAGAGAGATGAAGACCACATCTCACAAATGATAAGATGAAGACCACATCTTAGAAGTCACATCCTAGATGAAGACCGCATCTGAGGAAGAAAGAGAGATGAAGACCACATCTCGCAAAGGATAAGATGAAGACCGCATCTTAGAAGTCACATCATAGATGAAGACCGCATCTGAGGAAGAAGGAGAGATGAAGACCACTTCTCGCAAAGGATAAGATGAAGACCGCATCTTAGAAGTCACATCTTAGATGAAGATGAAGCCCACATCTAAGGAAGAAGGAGAGATGAAAACCGCATCTCGCAAAGGATAAGATGAAGACCGCATCTCGCAAAGGAT